CAATCAGTCTTTCCTCTTAAGGAAGGGCTTTTTCGAAGAAAGAGAGAACAAGCAACGGATTGAGCAACTAGCGCGAAAGCCGTTGCGCGTTAGCGCATCCGTTTTCTTGCTTTTATCGCTATCGCTTGCTTTGACCTTGGAGTTCTGGAGCTGGTTCGGAGAGATTCCCTTTGAGAGGGAAGCTCGAACGTATCCTTCGTCCGGACATTTTAGCTGTAGTAGAGAGAAAAGCTTCGCACAAACCAAGAGAGGGATGCCCGGGTGGGTATCCCGATCGATAAGCTCGGCACACGGGGTCCGGACCGCCTCGGCCAAGCGGCCTGTTGTAAACCGGTCTGTAATCCAAGATATCAGAAGAAGAGAATGAGGAACTCATTCAAAAACTCGTATTTTCTAGGAATCAAAGTCATATTTGCAAATGACAATTAAAAACTAAAAATTTTGATAATTATTTCAAATTAAAAGTTTGAAATTCCTAAGTTGAATAGTGCAATATTTTTTTGTCCATTATATTATTTAATTTTTCAATATTTAACATTTAAATAAAGAATAAAAAGTTTAAATCTAATGGTTAGAATTAAGTTGTAGTTAAATAAAATAATAATAATTAAAATGCATATACTTAAACTTATACTATGACTTACCTCATTTATTTTCGTTATTTGTTTTTTCCTTTTTAATATATTCAATTTATTATTAAATATTTATACTATGATGATATTTACATTAAACATTTGTGAGAATTAATCCTTAGATGCTATTTTTTAAGTCATTCAAATACTATGATAATTTTTATAATCAACCATACATTTTTATTATATGCAAATATACTTGTACTAATTCTATAAAAAAATATTATACCCAATAGCTTACGCAACGCTATTTACGCTGCAAAGTATAAAGACCAAAACGCTATGCATTACGCTATACGTGTTTTAAAACACTGACCGTAATGTAAATAAACTTAAATCTTAGATATCATGGATAGTCTGTTTATAAACATTTATTATGCTTTAGGCCTAATTTTGTCTATGTGACATATAAATAAACTATGTATTGAATGACATATATAAAACTATATAAAATAAACAAAATTTACCACACCTGTCTACTTGCACTTTCATAATATATTTTTTATTTTTATACTCTATATCTATTATGTAGGTGGCATATATAATAAGGGGAGATTCTACGGTTCCGTTCTGTCGAGATTTGTAACCGTTAAATCAACTATCCATGACGGTTATATAATGATCTATCAGTTACAAATACCGACACAATGGTTCCGGAACGGGACTGTAGCATTTCCCTATAATAAGAATTTGTGGATGCTAGAAGCTCGGTAGGGCTCGGTAGATGGAGAACATGGAGGTGTCCAGACGCCACCGCAAAAGCAAACTCAAGCTCCCATCAAAATCTGAGTCGGACCCCCCCGACGCGACATCAAAGAGACATGAACGAAGGTATGCAATTAATTTAATTGATGTTTAACAAGCTAGGGTTTTAGTTGATGTTTAATTTGATTCAGCTTTCTGCGAAAAAATCAGGAAAAAGAAACTCCGGTTGGAGAAGCGATCGTCTTCCGAGGCTGTGCGAGCGAAGCTTGAACAGAAAAATTCAAGGTAAAATTTAATCTCAGTATTGATTATTTACAACAATTATGAAATTTGGAGGTTATTTAGTCTGAGATTCGAGGAGTCCTCCAATTAGTGTCTTGTTGTTGTTGTTGTTTTACTGCTGATATATGGTGCTGCGGACCTTGTTTAGTGAGGGAATCAGACCAGAGCCGCAATGCTGCTTTCATGAGGGAATCGGAATCGTGCTGAAAGATGCATTAGAGATCTCATGGTAAATGTTCATTATTTTACATTGTGGTTCATTATTCTATATTCTGCTCTATACGGTGCTCAAATGATGGGAATTGCTTTTGTACCTTTCAAAATATATCATTTTAATGTACAAGTTATCCTGTTCCGCTTTTCAACCTTTGGCTTATTGCTCTGAAAAGTATATATTTTCTATGCGGCATCGCAAATGCATAACATACCTTCGATGTGCCAAGTATCTTTTGAAAAGATGAAATTTAGTGAAGTAATTAATTTTCATGGGGTATGATTTTGTTTTTCATGTATTGCGTGTAATGCCCTTGGATTACACGTAAGTATAGTTGTGTTTCTCATTATTATGTTATGTTTCTGTATTATTATTTGATGATTTTGTATTCGTTGAAATGGCTGGTCTTCTTGTAGTAGTTGTGATGTGATAACATTCTGAAAATGCATTGGTCTGGTCCTCCTGAATAATTCACATTGTCTTTAGGATCCTGATATT